TAATTTTTAAATAAAAATGTTAATTTTTATTTTTATTTTTGGTAATGATAGGGAATGCAAGAAATTTTAAGATTAATAACATTATATATATATCATATCATTCTATTATTAAATTAATTAATATATATAATATGATATATTTTAAAAAAATAAAAAAATAAAAATTAAATAATATAAACTTTGTCTTTTAATATTTTAAATATTATTAATTGACAAATCATGCTCTCGTTTATTAATATTCTATTTTTTTATATATATATTTATAATAAAATAGGTCCTTAATCTATACCTCTAAGAGCAAATGTTACAAAATCATGCTATTACAACGTTAATGCTAGCTAGTGCAAATTAATTCCATTTTACCAAACAGAATCGCATTCTAAAAAAATCCATTCAATTCCTCAAATTAGAACCAAAACCAGGATTTCAAGGCAAAAAAAAAAAAACCAGCAGATTTATACATACAGCAAAATTACTGCAAAAATCAGTACATTTCTATGTAGGGAAGAATTAGAGACTTACAAGTTGCTTTCTCGTGAAAATGGAAAGAAAATCCAGCCAAACGATTTCGCAATTCCAGATGACAAAGTTACCGGCACGAATCAGACCACTAGCCCGAAGCAACTCCGACTCTGATTCTTGTTTCCTCTCTCTTTTGAACAGATTTAGCTTGCAAAAATCTTTCTTTGAGACTGGGATGGAAATGTCTCAGTTTTGGGGTTTTATACCCAAGCAAATGCCTAGATCTTTCCAACCCCATCCGAAAAATTCTTGTATCTTCCAGATGCTTCGCCCGTTTCCTTCTGGCGGCAAACCCCTCTGGATTTTTCCTGCCACGTGGAGCCTTACGTTTGCAGTTACCATTTTTTTTTTCTTTTTTTTTTAATGAATTTACTGATCTCTGATTGGCCCGAAAGACACTCTTAGAGCCTAGTCCAATTTAGAGTCGGTAGGCCCAAATAAATTTAAGGTCGGTTCACAAGTTTCAATATAAGCCCAAACTTAAAGACGGTCTGGGCTGGGCTTGGATCTTGCAGAATTCGCTTAAAACCCGCTTAGAACCCCTCCAACAATACAGTCTTCTTCTTCCTCTCTCACCGCCTTAAAAGTTAAAACTCTGCAACTCTTCTCGATTGCTCAGTGATTTGCGGCGGCATAGACACATAGACTCTTCGAGTTTAAGTTTTTTGATTCATTAAGTTTGAAGCTGAAGATATGGGGAGAGCGAAGAAACCCCAGAAATTTGCCGCCATGAAGAAGATAGTTACCTCAAAAGCTATTAAAAAGTAAGGTCCTCTCTATCTCCACCTCCTGCTATCTATGATACCTCTTGTAGTTATCTTCATGTTGATATTCTTGTTCATTGGTTTCTTTTTAATTCAGTTACAAACAAGAGGTTCTGAATCCTAACAAGAAGGACTTAACCAAGGAAAAACTTCCCAGAAATGTGTAAGACTCCAGGGCGGTGTGTGATTATGCGATTTTGATATTTGAAATATTATTCTTTCAATTTGATTGATATGGGGTTTTCTTAATATGATATGAACAGGCCGAGTGTTTCTTCAGCGCTTTTCTTTAAATATAATACTGCTTTAGGACCGCCGTATCGAGTGCTGGTGGATACCAACTTCATCAATTTCTCTATTCAGAACAAAGTGAGCGCCTTTATCCTTCAATTGTTGTTAATTTTGCCTCCATGTCAGGGTAATTTTAGGATAACTAGTTTTAATCAAATTTAAAAATAAAAAGAATAACTACGTTGGGATATTAACAAATTCTGTCATAATATGTAATCTGGAGATCTCATCTAAATAGTCGTTTGTTTGTGTCCTTTTGATTGTTTTGCTTTGATGATGCTAACTGCTGTAATTCGATTAAGCTAACTTGGTTGTTGGATTTTTTTTTATCCCTTTGTTTGCAGTTGGATCTTGAGAAGGGAATGATGGACTGCTTATATGCAAAATGTGAGTTGTGGAATTGCTTGTTTCTTCTTTCGTACTGATTTGCTGTTGTTTCTATCTTCTTTGATTTTTGGCCATCTTCCTAAGGTTTTGATTTTTTGGCTTAACAAAGTATCAACAATGGAAATGCAAATTGTTGTTAAACAAGTCGCATAATTGAATTAGTTATCTGGTTTTTTTTTAATTTTATTTGAAGGCACTCCTTGTATCACGGATTGTGTAATGGCTGAACTTGAGAAGTTAGGTCAGAAGTACCGTGTAGCCTTGAGGTATGTTCACCCAAATTTTAGTCCACCTGCCATACCCCTTATCCCTTTAATTTGTAATAGATGCTACTTTTCCTTTGCGGTTAATTTCTGGCGACTAACATCAGTCCTTTCCTTCCTTCCCTTGCTCATCAATTTATTTCTTGACAGGATTGCTAAAGATCCTCGTTTTGAAAGATTGCCATGTATTCATAAAGGAACCTATGCTGATGACTGTATTGTTGATAGAGTTACACAGGTACTAGTTTATCTGCTCTGTAATTGTTTTGCATCTCTTAGCACAATTTAGCAGCATGTCTTGTTTTCTACTTTTTTTGAGAGAGGATGGTGGGACCTGAGAGGGGAGAGGACTTTATGTTTACATGAAGTTTCAAAAGATATAACAACCTCCTATACTGGGTAGTGAGAACAAGTTAGAAGTAAATAGTGGTCAAGTATTGCTGTTTTCTTTCCATTTTAGAAGCATGATTTGTATTAGAATATTAAACCTTTGTAGTGATCTTTAAGTTGGGATGGTGTGCTATTATTCCTTCTGGCCAAAAGTTTGTCAATTTGGTTTTGTGGTAACCTTG